TGAAATGATGTTGAGCTGTTCAAAGTTAACAGCTAGAAATGGATGGAGTTGCTTTGAGTGGTTACACTCTGTTTCATCTCAGAGGACTTACTGGGAAATTAGAGGTGATTCTGTGTCTGCTCAGAAATGGCATGGCAGGTTTCCATCCTAGTTGCACAGCTGTACATATGAGCCTGCCTGGAGCATTATCACAAGGCATACCATGCTTTTAGTGTCCTGATGGCACTTAGTTCTGTACCTTCCTCACAGTCCACCAGCCAGTTCACTAGTATAAATAACTTTGCAGTAGAGGGTTTAAATAAGTGCTAACTGTCTGGGATTTAATCTAGATAAAATGAAGATAATTTTGGTAGGTTCAGAGACATAATCAGAAGAAATGATGTGAGATTATATCAGTATGGCTGCTTTTACTTGTTCAGGGTCAAAGTTCAGGAATGTTTTTAGACTTGAGCCATAATTACTTAACCCTCTGGGCATAATGCTAGCTTCCTATTTTCTCCAGCCTTTGTTGGATGTGATGAGGGATGGCAAAGATTTGTTTGTTTGTTTGTTTGACTTTGCTCTTATATCTCTCCTTATTTGGTGTTTAACCTGATACTCAATATTGAGTTGATTCAGATGAAGCAGTAGCTTTACCTTTGAATTTTAATAATAAATTAGGGTGTCTTGAGCACAGGCACAGGAGGAGTTGCTATTGGGATTTTTCAAGCTTAAATAAATAAAGAATCAGTTTCACTATTTTGAGGCAGAATAAGGTGTGTGGTATTTATTTGTGCTTGAAAGCTCACAGCTGCTTATCAAGATTTTTTTTTATGTCTTTTAAATGCTAGTGTCAGCGTTTGGGAGTACATTCTGTAGCTGAAGAATCATTAAGCAGTTTGCAGAAAACTTTAATTTTTCACTTTCCATTTCATTAGATAAACCGTCCTATTTAACCAGCACGAGTGGTTTTACTAAATCACTTATTTTTGCACATGTCCTTTTGTGAAACATTCAATACAGAAGCTGTCAAACTTGGCTTGAACTGGAAACAGTTTTGTCTCTCAGTATCTGCAAACGAGATGGCTGTATGCCAGAATTTCTGAAACCTTGGCTAAAGCATTAAAATCTAGTTGATTAAGTTGTAGCATTGCAATCTGTGGAGTATTTGGTGTCTACAGCCCATCAGGTATTTTGTTTAGCCTTCTAGATTCTTGCCAAGTGTTAACATGTTTAATTGGGCTATAGCTCATTCCAGCTTTCATCTCAATAGTACTAGGTATGGTGAAAGTGGGCAGCAGCATGAAAACCTGAATAAAATTGAACAGAATAGTGATTGTGAGCTGTATTTTAACTAGTTAAGAATTCTCCTTATGACATACACATATCCAGGTAAAACGCATCCTGTGTAGGATATACATTTTATAAGTGTACACTGATCCTGCCTGGGTATTGTGTGTGAATGTATGTTGTAAGATTCAAGGGACTAAAAAGAGGGCAGGCAAGAGGGAGCATAGATAGTGTTTTGTGCACTTACTTGAGGGGAGTGAAGATCTGGATTTTTGGTTCTTGCTCCTTCCTGCACAGACCCAATTTCTACAGGAGTGATGTAAAGTGCCATACTTAGCCTTGCCAACAGCCTGGTGGTTAGGGCAATCTCTGGAGAGGTAGCTTGAGATATCAGGTTGAGGAAGGCGTGTATTTTAAAAGACAATGCTAAATTCTGCTCAATTCTTTGTAATCTGTCATAATATAATTCCAGACTGGGGATCCCAAGGAGATGGAGGTGCTCACCTATAGCACTGAGTTTAGTGCCTGCATACTGGAGGGGAGGGATTTCAGACATTCTTCTGTGCTTAGCAGTTATTTTTGCAAAACCTTGCCTGCTCTCAGATGCTCACTTGCCTGGTGGGTTTTCTTAATCATCATTCTGAGGTGTCAGACTCTCCCCATGCACTCTTTTCCATCCTGGGGGTGGGGGTGGTGCCTAAATGTTAGGTGTTTAGTGCCTAACCTGTAGGTGCCTAAATCCTTTATTGGCTCTTCCCCTTGGTCCAATGTAATCAGAAAATTATAAAGCAGGTTTGATAGTTTTAATACACAATGCCAACCCATTTCTAAAACTTTTTTTTTTGATGTCCTGGTCTAGAATTGATATTGATACTGTCTGATGGTGAATTGTTGCTTTAATCAAATCATACAATTACATCGTTCTTGGAGGATCATATATGCAGGGTTGCCAACTGTCCTTAAGTTTATGGACAGTCCATAAAAAAGGGGCTAAAAGTGCTCGTCCTTAAAGTCTGAGGGGGAAAAAATGGAGCTATCCATAAAAAATTAAGCAACAACTTGGTTGAAGATTCATCATCAGAATGAGGCTGGGTGCAACATAAGGAGCAGAGCAGTGGCACCGTGTGTTTGAGTGGGAATGTAACACCCCAAAGGGAAGTTAGGGCTTTTGTGGTCCATGGGAGCTTCCATAGCCCCCTCACCCCCAGCCTTATGCTGCTGCTGCATCCTGTTGGGGTCAAAGATAGGCAGGGCTGTGTGGACCCCTGCAGTCTGAGGTACAGGGTGGGGCAGGGAGGGGGCAATGCAGCCAGGATGGGGCTACAGACCTGGGATGGGGAGAAAGGATGGGTGGGGATCTGTGTCAAGACAGGGAGAGCAGGGTCAGCAGAAGTAAAGTTGGGGGCTGGGCAGGGCTGGGAGCAGCACAGTGCAGGGTACAGTTGCGAGTATCAGGTGCGTGGGGGTGAGCAGGGAACCCCTGTGGTGGGGGCAGCACAATGTAAAACTATTGCTACAGTCAAGTAAGACTGTTAAAAGTTGGTGCTGAACTCCTGCATTTGAATCTGGCCCTTGTTACTGCCATCCAGGGCCTGGCAGAAGAATTGCCTGTTTACATTATGTAAAACAATTGTCAGTAAAAACATATATGTCAGTAAAAAAAGTTTGGTTGTCAGTAAAAAGCTTGCACATTGTCAGTTTAAAAAACAATAATTCTTTGGTTGGCAACCCTGCATATACACTCTCTGTCTGGGATATAGTTTGCCCTGTAACAAGGTATTCTGTCCCTTTAAGGAGGATGAGTCAGTCCTGTTAAGGAAGTCCAGGTGTGGGGCATTTGGGTAAGCAGCAAGCTTTAAAAGTTCCCAGACAAAGGCAAAAATAGGAGGAAGCAAGCTGTGAAGAGAACAGCTTTCTGCAAGGAGGGGCTGAGGCAAAAGGGTGCCCCCTCCTAGTGTTCAGGACAAGACAGGATTTTGTTTTGTTTGTTTCTTTAAGCACTGAGTATTGCTTTAGGGAGCTGGCTGAGGGCTCCTCAGGGAGCAAACTTTCCTACAAAAGCCTCCTACAGGGCTTAGGGACCTGTTTACATACCTGTTTGGAAGTCATGAGTTTTTATATAATCAAAAGCTTTCAATAAAAATAAGATGGAACCATTTCACGGCTTGCCTTCCTACTCAGACTGTGATTACATATTTTGGAGAAATACATTGTCCTTATACTGCAGTTACAAGTTACGGTGATCTGTGACTATTTCTGGCAGATTTTAAACACTATGATCAAACAAGTCATTACTGTAGACTGGAAGTGTGAGACTGCATTTTATGAAGCTGTCTTTTTATTAGCACATAGACTGAATGTCGTAGAGTGATTAGCTGTGGTATGCAATTGTGTGAATTTTCGTTGAGAAGAATTGGATTATTGTTTGGAAGAATTGAAAAGAAAAACTTGAGACAACTAGCTGATCAGGGAGAAAAATGCTAATTGAAAGGTATTTTAATTATAAATGTCATAGTAGTGATAAGTATTTATGTGTTCATGTACTGGAATGAACAGGCATCAGGCATCAGAAATTTGTTCATGAATTAGAAACTTGTGTTATAGTAGGGCAGGGGTGGCCAACCTGCAGCACAAGTATCATGGGCAACCTCTGTGTGGGGCACTTGGCAGATCAGGAAGGAGCATGCAGAACAGCGGCAGATAGGGCAAAGAGCAAAAAACAGAATAATAGACCAGGCAGGGAGCACATGGCAGGAAACAAAAAGCAGAGCAGCAGATTGGTCAGGGGAAGGGAATCAGGGCATGTAGCTTAATTTGTGGCATCCCTACCAAAAATGATGGCCCCCACTGCCATGAAGCATGATGTGTAAAAACAGTTTATGCTTTCTTTATCACCTTTTTCTAATTCAGTTCTTGCATGCTGAAGTTCAAAGATTTGGTGGGGGGGAGAAAAAGTGAAAGGCAGTCCCCCTTTGTGAGCCCATGTTCCCAGGAGTGTGAGTAAATAGGGTCCTAAAGAATTATCCAAGGTTTTAAAGATCAGGAAGTTACAATTTCTCCATTGATTTTTCAAAAGGAATGGAATCCTGTAGGCAGAACCCCCTTACTGCCTGGAAAGGAACTGTGGCTTTTTCTGGTGTGCTTGTTAAAGATTACCAATTGTGATAATACTGAATTTCAAAGCTGGCACTTTTAAATGAAAGAATAAGTGAAAGTGGCAACAATAGCACAGTGACTGTGGTCTGATATTGTTCTTGCTTTTTGTAGCCCACATATCAAAGGGAATTTTCTCCAGGAGGGGTGGTTTTGGGTGCAGTGAATTGTTGTATATTGTGTGTCAGTCTCATGTTACAAAAACAACCACGGATTGAAGTCTGTTCAAGAGTAGGATGTAAAACCCTCCCCCATGGGTTTTATTTAAGAATTCTCATAAAAATATTGTTTGTTATAATTAGAAACAACACTTTCAGCTTCTCCTGCACTGGGAAATTGCTTGTCTGTTTCCTTAAGTGGCTGTCATGACGTCAAGATCTTTAATTGGAAAAGGAGGGGGGTAGAAGAGGGAGAAACCACATTGTCCAGCTATATCTTTCCAACAGATGGTAGAGTTCTGTGCTTGCTCAACTCGCTTACTGTTAAAGATCTTTTTTTGATATCTTAACATACTGTACATTTTGCAGCTTATTAAACAAGACCAACACCACTTGTTCTTATTTTTCTTTTAATCCTAGAATATAAATCCCCCTCTTCCGCCACCTCCTCTTTTGTCTGCCACAGTCATTGCTTCAACATCTTCAGGGCCACCTTCTGCAGGACTAGTACAAAGGCCTGTGTCTGGATCAGCTGACCAAACAACACATTTACGGCCACAGACTCGACCAAGTGTGTAAGTAAAATTGAAATTTGTTACCAGTTACAGTAAGTTTAAGGGAGAAGAAAAAACATGGAATAAATCAAGTCCTTTAAGAGATGACTTGGAACATGTGATCAGCTAGCCTGAATCCTGCTCACACACCCAGAAAGAACATCTAACTAGGAAACAAAAAAAATTGTGTTGGTAGCTAGGTAATCTCCCCTAGCTTCATGCTCATGGTTATTTTCAGCTTAAGTAAATATAATAGGATGTTGCTGTGTTGTTTTACATGAATACACTACATATAGGGTATATTTATTGTGGGGGGAGTGAATGCACTTCTCTTTTCCCTGAGTTCAGGATGAGAACTATTTGACTCAAGAGTGGCAAAGTCCCGAATGAATTGTTCAATATCTTCCATTATGAATGGAATGAAAGGACCGTCCCACACAGAATAATTTGTCAGAGCACAGAAAATACCATTTTATTTGCCATGTTATATAAGCATGTCCTCATCAGGCTGCTTGTCCAGGTTGCAAATGCAGTTCAGCTGAGGATTCTACAGTTCAGCTAATTAGTGGGTGGCAGGTTGGCATGAAACTGCTAGTTAGTGTTATGTCTTCACACTTGCATAACAAGCGAATATGAGCGATCCTTCTGAGTGCAAATATTTTATCTCTAATGTGCTCCTGATGACACCTACCTTCCTGAATATGTCATTGTGCATGTTTTGGAAAAGATTAAGGATGTGAGAAAGAAACAACTTGGAAGTGGCTGAAACATCTGAAGGGACCCTGGAATAATGCAAATCCCTCTGTATTTATTCTGCATCAGGCTAGCCTGGAACTTCTGTTGAGTGTCTTCTTTTTCTTTTCCTTCCCAGCAGATTTCTCTCATTCTCTGATAGAAAGTTCCCACCCACCCCTTTTGCAGGTACATCTTAGAATCCTTTGCATCAGTTTCTTTGGATAGGGTCAAGTGTTCAGTTCCAGCACTGGAAATTTGCAGCTGAAAAAAGGGGTGAGAGGGGGGTGTACAAGTGATCTTCCTCATTGGAAGAAGGGCTCTCATTTTTTAATGGAAGAGCCAGTTCTTTTCTGCAAAAACTGCATGAATGGCTGTATGCTCTCTTTTTGTGCTGGGAAAAATGCACAAACTCCTGTCCACAGCCTTTGACACTACTACAGAAGTATTGTTGTTGCAGAGAATTCTACAGAGCAATTAATCCAGTTCCTTGTTTGTGCCAGTTACTCTTGCCAAGATATTTTAAGGGTTTGCTATATGGGGTTACTCAGGAAAGCTGACAGATTAACTAAAGCTGTGAAGTTACTGCATGTCAGTTAAAGCACATTAAGCTGCCTCTGCCCAGGGGTTTAATGTACTTGAACTTCCATGCATTAACTTCACACTTTAGTTATTTTGCCCTAATCTTTTTGATTGTCTCTGTGTAGGCTGTTCACAAGTCATGTCCATTCTGAAGTCTTTTGTTCTCCATGTGTTATTTCCTTAGATTGACTTTCTGTAGTTCTGCCTCTGAAGCACCATTGCAGATATTGTAAAGGATGCTGAGCCTTCAATTTAGGCACCCAACTGAGCATAACTTAGTAAAGATTCTGGAGTAAAAATTTTGCAGGTGTGGGACTGCTGAGCAGGAAGGAACAGCAAAGGGTTGATGATATAGAAGACAGGAGGAACAAAAAAATACTGTCTTCCCTTGCAGTCAGTGGACAAAGGGCCAATTCTGCCCAAATAGAGAAGGTTTTGTAAAGCCTGCCTTTCCCTGGGAGGGAAAGGCAAATGAGGGGAAAGAGAGAGCAGAAAGATCGGTTGACTTCCCAGTTCATGAAAAGATGAGCTCTATTTTGAAAAAGGAAGCACTGGAGAGTTCTGCACAGGAAGGACTGATTAGCTACTTGTTGAATTTTTTTTTTTTTGAAAACGCTTTCCATTGTTTATAGATGTTATTTTCCACATGTCTAATATAAACATGCATTTTAAAGTTAAAAAATGCTTTGAACGTAATTTTAAACTATTGCAGGGCACTGAACACTGAAATGGCAGTAAGAAATTCTACCTTAATGAAAAATGTCTGTGCCAGTGCTAGCACAGAATTGTAGAGGCTTCTCAGTTTTATTTTTATAGTTAAAAAGTGAAGCTTGGAATTCGTAAAGAACTTCTTATTTAAAAAGAAAAACAGAGAAGTAGAGGAGATGTTGACCTCCCACCATGACTCCTGAGTTACTGCGTTATGCTGTTACTTATGCTTTCAGAAGCTGGAAAAGAAGTATATGAAAAGTGAAACAGCAGCCACTGTCAGTCAGTCCACTGACCTCAACTACCAGCAAGGTGACATGTCTCCCTGCAGTGTTTCAATTGTGCAGGAGGGTCCCAATTTTCCTGCTTAAAAAGAAGAAAAGTTAAATCAGAAGTATTTGACTTGTTTTTAATCTGGTCTTTTATTCCTAAGTGTAAATTTTTTCAGAAAGGAGGAACTGCCATGAGACAACAATGGAGAAGAATGTAAAAGCCAAAAAGCCCACAGAAAAACACTATAGTTAATGAACAAAAAATTAAGTATTGACATTTATTTTTTATTTTGATGTAACTTATTTTTAATAGGATGCTCTGTTTTCCTTGTTGGTGAACTTGTTTTAAAATTCAGGAGTCATATTTTCCTTTATATTACTTTTAGCAATTGCAAAAAAATTTGATGGCGTGCCCTTCTCTGGCATGGACACTTCTTATATTTGTGATATGCCAACACTTTATCATTTCTACCATGCTTTACTTGTTTCTCTTCATGCTGAACTCTCAGCCATCCAGAAGAGTGAAAGTGATTTTGTTCCTGCATATTTAACTATTATATATGGAAAGTTGCTTGCTTTCCTTTCTTCCAGATATATTGCTATATACCCATACACTCCCCGCAAGGAAGACGAACTGGAACTGCGAAAGGGGGAGATGTTTTTAGTGTTTGAACGTTGCCAGGATGGCTGGTTCAAAGGAACATCCATGCATACAAGCAAGATTGGGGTTTTCCCTGGAAATTATGTGGCACCAGTCACAAGGTATGATTTCTTTTATACAGAACTCTGAATAATTGAATTTCTAGTTGTTCACTATTATCGTTTTGTTACACTTAATCCTAAAATCAGGCGATGATATGAAAAACAATACTTTTTACTGAAGAGTAGTTGCTGGGTTTTTAAAAATATATACTGTAGCAAAAGGTGTGTTAATTTTTGCAGGACAGTGACAAGTGCTTCCCAGGCAAAAGTCCCCGTATCCACTTCTGGCCAGACAGGACGAGTGGTAACCATGGTCAGCCCTTCTGCAGCTAGTGGACCATCACAGAAACTTCAGGGCAATGGTGTGGCAGCTAATTCCAGTGTGGTGCCAACTGCTGTGGTTTCTGCGGCACATATCCAAACAAGCCCACAAACCAAGGTTCTTATGCATATGACAGGTCAAATGACAGTCAACCAGGCTCGCAATGCTGTTAGAACAGGTAAAAAAACACTAGTGCTTGATACTGAATGTAGTCCATCTGTGAACCTGATAGACACAAGTGGTCAGAGGCAGATACTGTGGATTGACTTTTTAACAGAACCAGAACATTTCTAAAACTTTAATACACCTGTCTGGAATGGCTGGATCACTTACTGTTCTCACACAAATGAAATGCAGAAATATCAGTCCAACTCATCAGTCCATGTTGTTGCACAGTCTAGACTAGGTCTTGTCTCTCTTAAACTTCCTCACAGAAATTTTTAGATTACTCAGAGGTAGATAATGTTTGTTCAAGTGAGAGCTGCAAAAATATTCATGTCATTTAGCAGCAGTTCCTTTCCTAAACAAAAGAGAAGTCCTCTGGCTCCTTCTCTACTCCCCTACTTGGAGAGTTGTATTAGATCTCTGAATCTTGGTTGGGGGAGAGCTAACTGTTATAGTGTTGCTGTGGTCTGCCCAAATTGGGCATATGAGAAAGAGGGGAACTAGGAAAGCAAATGCTGGTAGGTTTGAATCCATGATTTTGAAAACGTGTCTCCACAGGTAGCCTCAAAATATCATTAGCTTCTGAAACATTAGAGCAGCTAGGCATTTGGCACAAATGTCAGCCAACCTCTGAAAGGTTGCCACCATCTTGACCTTAAGATTCACAACGCTGAGGAAGGGAGGCTGTGCTCTATTGGGATGACTGTGTTCTGGTTTAGTTTATTTGCTAGGTGATATGTCTGCATTGAAAACTATAGTGTTATGTAGATATGCCTGATTTAGCTTGGATACTGAAAGTACTGTAGCCCTGTAAACATAGGCTGCGTGGCTGAAAATAAGGCTAAATGAGTCCATCTGCAAGGAACTCCATGCTGCTGCAGCTAGACTGCTTCTGGCTCTCAAGGTAACTTAGATATCATGACGCTATCTTGCCATTTGTAGTTTAGGAATACTCAACATTTCAGGTACATCTTTGCTAGATGTCGCGTTATCATTCTTCCTATACAGTTTCTGATGTCAGCCAGCACAGTGGTAGATTGCCAGGTTTGGACTAGTTCTTTTATGTTCCTATCTGATCACCTGAAATGCTCTGTCATTTCACCCAGATGTACTAGTATAGTGATCTGGGTTGGAAGCTGGGTGGTGGGAAGGAAGGTGTGTGGTTTTAATTCTTTTTATAACACAGTAACTGAGATGTGTACATGCCTTGGGAAATGATACTTCCCCTCACATTTCTTCCCTTTATCCTAGTTGCAGTACACAGCCAAGAAAGACCAACAGCAGCAGTGATGCCAATACAAGCTCAAAGTTCAACATGTCTTATCCCTACAGCTGTGATCATCCCCCACCATTCTGTTGCTCCCCAGCAGCTCCAGCCTCAGCTCCCAAACACTGCTGCTTATGTCACTGCTGTGAACATGAACCGGGCAAACGTTCCACTGGCTTGTGCAACTGCTTCTTTAAACTCTCCCAGTGTCACTTCTGCATCTCTAGATGGAGACATGAGTGGGAGAACTGTAACTGTTCACCCTGGGGCTCCTTCTTCTCCTGAAAATGCTTTAGCAGTTGGTGGGAACTCTGCAGTCAGTAAACCTGATGGAAAGGTAGGCATGGCTTTTTATTTGCCTCCCAGGTAGCATCTCACTACTGTCATGTGCACTTCCTAAGTAGGCTCAGAGTCATCTCTCTGTATTCTCTAAGGGTAACAAAACACTAGGGTTTTGCGGGAGATTCTGTAAGTCAGATACTCACTTATGTGGCTGTAATTTTGGATGAGAAGATTCTTGACTCTGAAAACAAAATACATCTTTGTGGAGGCTGCATGTTGGGTTGCTCTTTGTGTGGGATAGACTGGGCTACCCATGCTAATGACAGCAAAATTAGAAAGGTCGGCTGTGCATGTCAGAGGGTTAAGAAGCTCTGCTGTTGGACTTGTACATATTCCATGCATCTCTTTCTGAAGCGGCAGTTTGACTCCTGAATGCTTCAGGAACAAGTGTGGTCACTAACTCTGTATCAGTGGACTTCTTTAAACTGATAGGCAGGTCTGTAGGCATAAGTTTATGGGACCATGTATTGCACAAGTGAAGAAAGTGAAATGAATATTTAAGGAAAATTGCTGTGTGTTTCCTGTGTATAAATGAATGTAAAAAATTGAGTCTGAAACAATCTCATTTTATTTGCCATAAAATTCTAAAGGTCATCTTTCTAATTATGTTAGTATCTTAAATAAGAAATTGGGGGTTTTAAGAACTTAATTTCAGGCTGTTTCTATTGAGCAAGGAAAAGATAGAGAGCTACATTTTCAGTTATAACATCATGACTCTTGTCCAGCTTCTATTCTTAGTAGATTTTCAAGGGATCCATTTGCCTCTCTGTGCCAAACTGAAATATCCTCTTCAGTACCCTGTTCCTTTTAAACTTACAGGCTCAAATGCAACTCCACATTTTAGATGGGTGAGTAGTGCTTAAAGGATTCACTTTCAGTGGCCGCTTACATCCTACTCCTCCTGGGAGGCATGTAATTCTGGATGATGAGGAAGAGGGGTCCCTTCCACCTTGTATCCCAGCAAGCCTAGTGGTTAGATCAGGGGTTGTCTAATCCTGCATAACCCTGGGGGTACTTTGAAAGGTCCCAGGGGGTACACAGGGATGGCGCGCCGCCACCCCATGCTGCTGTCTTGCAGGGGCAGGGCGAGAGCAGGGCTACACAGATGCCATGCTGCCACTACTTGCCACCCCCAGGCTTCACGTCTGGCCACTCGCCACCCCCCACCCCCCTGCTTCACGTCCGCATCTGGCTGCTTGCCACCCTCCCCCGCACTTTGCATCTGGCTGCTGAGCCCGCCCCCCCCCCAGGGTACACTTACTAAAAAGGGGGCTGCCAGGGGTACACTTATTTTAAAAGGTTGAAAACCCCTGTGTTAAACCATTTGCCCAGGGAATGGGAGACCCAGGTTCTCAAGGCCTCTCATCACCCAAAGTGGGTTTGAACCTGCATCTCCTACTTTTCAGCACAGCATCTAAACAATGAGGCTGTGGATTAGGCAGGACCAAGATCACCCTCCACCACTACTTATTGAAGGTAATTCACTGTGCAGCCAACAGGAGAGAGATGTAGGGTGGAAGAAGTGCAAGCCAGAGGGAGCCTTGGTCTGTTAGATGAGTACTGCACTGGAAGGGAAGGGGGCCTGGGACCTGGTTCCTATACCTGTCTCCAGTGGTGCTTCCACAATTTGCATTAAATTGTCATTGGATAAAGCAGATAGCAGCTGAATAACTTCTGCTTCAATAAGGGTAGCAGCCAGGCCAGATCCCAGGATCTCATCTCTTCCAGGGCAGCACTTACTTCACTGAGCCATGTCTTTTGCTCTTGTCCATTTGGCCATCTCCAACAAGGTCTGGAGTTGGACATTACTATGGGCAATGGTTACCCCATGGCATGGTTATGAAGGGCATTTTGCTGGGAGATAGGAGGTACAGTCTTAAACCCCCTCTAGGTCAGCAGGGCTTAGAATCTGGGTCTCCTCCCTGAACCGTAGCCACTAGGTCAGTGATTCTCCACCAGGTGCTGCACAATATTAGTAGGTAGGTTGCAAATATCTATGTACAATGTGCAAGATAAAGCCAGAGATTTCAAACAGGAATCCATGGCTAGGGATCTCTGTAAATCATGCCAGAAGTACCCCCTACAGCAGCTCCTTTAATGCTTTTTATTTTGCTGCTTGCCATTCCCCCCACCTCTGATTGGCAGAGGGGCTCTACCAGCTGGGTCGTTTGCTGCTAATCACTGGGGAAGTGAAAACCACAGCATATTTAAAACCAATCGGGTTGGTGCGGGTAGGGGGCGGCAAAATGAAAAACATTAAAGGAACCATTGTAGGGGGTACTTCCGGCGTGATTTACAGAGAAACCTTTCCAGGGTGTCAAAACAGTCCTGCCCTGTTGTGGTTTTTCTGAGTTCTTTGCAACAATGGAATTGCTCTATTATTTTTCCATAGCCAAAAAACAAGCAAAAGCTGAGAGCTGGCATTTTCCAGGGGGCACTTTGAGTCAAAGCTGAGAACCACAGCACTATATTATTAGACTAAAAGGTGGAAGGGTCTTCCTTGTACTCTTCCCACCAATTTGTTATGTTTCTTTTTGCAACTAACAGTTCAGGGACTTGCATTTGGTTTATGTACTGTCCCAGTAGAGTTGTACTGCAATGGAGCATATGTGACTGAAGTGGATCCCTTTTGAGCATGCTCAGAAGGGTAAAGTGAGTTGTGCAAGAGGGGGTGAGAGCTAAAATCTGCATAAGTGGGCCAAAAGGCTAGTTACACAGCTAACTACAGCTGTGTAAATGGTGTTTACCTGGCTACAGGGAAGTTGGATTTGAGTTTTTTTTCTTTCCCCTCTATTAGGCAGAAAGGAGTTTATTCCTGCCTAACAGATCTTCCCATTAGACTATTTTTAAGAAAAAAATCTAAATTTTCCCTTAGGTTGTAGTATAATCGTCATTTTAAATCCCCTTTGATAGCTTCCTCTAACTCCCAGATATTTGTTCATCAAGTACTTGTAGACATTTATCTTCCCTCTGGTCACTCCTTATCCAAGCTGCACATATGTTGTTGTTTTAATTTTTCCCTACAGGCTCTCTTCTACCTTTTAAAGACTTTTGTTGCATACCTTTAAGTTGAGATGCCAGGGGCTGTACATTCACGTAATGACTTTGGTTGCCGCCAACTGAAGTTAGATTGACATTTTTTAGGTGGTGTTTTTTGTCCATCTGCTTTTTCCAGGGGCGCGGAGTTAATGAGGCTAATATTTAGAGTATGTTCATTTCTCAAGATTCATTCTTCTTCTCTGTTCAATTGATAGCAGTTCATACAGGATAGGTTTTTCTTGATGTTATAATTTTTTTAATTTATTGGCAGTACTGGAAATGGGATGAAGAATTTTTCATTCACAGTTCATCAGTTCCATTTCAGCCCAGCCCAGGACTAAATCTTTCATTGCTTTTGCTTGATTGGTTTTGTGGTTTAATAGCTTATTTCTGTCTTCAGGGCTTACAATCTGGCACCTCTCATAAGCAATAAACTTACTCAGTCAAAGGGTTTGTGTAAGAAGTGCCCTTTAAAATTTGAAAATGTACAAAGGCCACTTAAGAATATGTCTCTTTAGGCTGAGAAATAGTCTTCAGGGGATCCTGCCTGAACAGGCAAAAAGCATGTTTACAATTCTCCTCTGTAGCAGGGCAACAAAATTTAAACAATTTCCCCATTGGCAAATTTTTGCTGTACCGTTCAAATCCTTACTTGTCTGCCTGCATGTGTGTGGGAGTGTGGGGAGTGGTCGAAAGTGAATAGATAAGAGACTTCTTAATCAAATCAAAGGCTCCAGGGCAAAAAGCCCTCCTTTCTCCATTTGAGATGAATCTGTGTTCATTTCCAGAGAAGGCACCCCTATAACCAAAACCTCAAGTCTCTCATGGCTATCACTCAATGTGTCCCAACATGCTCTGTTCATCCTCTTACCTACTTTGTGGACTACAGTAGTTGACCTTAACGGCAGTCTTCATGGCTGGGCTCTCTCTCCATTATATGAAGGAGCGTAGCCCATTTACAGTCCTGCTGATTGTAACTAGATTGTACACATGTAGCCTTGCAGCACAGGTGGGGTTTTTTTATTATAATTTTTAAAGTATACATTATTACCACTGTCTTGCTACAGAAGTTAGGAAGAGATTTCATTCTCTCACTATATTTGCTTTATTAAATGAGAATTACATATTGGACTGCTTGGCTTATTTAATATAAATGATGCTTTGTGGAGGTCTGACTTATCCATCCTTGTTTACTTAATTCTCTGAAATCAAAATGGCCATTCATCCAAAGCTCTTTGTCTGCCAAGTAACCCCTGTTTTAAAATGAATGTAATTTAGACTTTTTGCTTTACAGAAGGAAAAGAAAGGGTTGCTGAAGCTGCTGTCTGGAGCATCTACCAAACGCAAGCCCCGACTGTCGCCTCCATCGTCACCAACAATGGAGGTTGAACAAGCCACTGCAGAGCTGGCCCTCCAGGGTGCAGTAGGGCCTGAAATTCCACCAATTGTCAGCCATGGCAAAGCTGGGTCCTGTCCTGTGGACAGTGAAGTCTCTGCAGCCATGCAAGCCCAGGAGACTCTTCATCGGAAACCAAGCTGTCTGGATCCTAGCATTCCTATAGCTCCTCCCCCACGGCAGCCATGCTCATCACTGGGACCAGTCCTGAATGAATCTAGGCCTGTTGTTTGTGAAAGGTAAATTACCTCATGCAGCCAGACGGAGGCAAACTTGCATGATTTCTCATCCAGTCAGGTTCATTAGTGATTCTACATAGTTAATCAGAATGTTATGTTTTGACAAAAACGAGAAAAAAAGTTGACAGTTTCTGGGTTCTTCCCCTGACCTTGGATTTTGACCAGGTAAAGAGCTAGTTAGACAGTTTTTAATTTAGGGGGAAAATCTAACTAACTTTTTAATAGTAAAAGATTTCTAATAGAATGACTGAAATGTTTAGGTTCATCTACCACTAGCAGTATTTATACTTGTATACTACTTTGATGTTTAGGGACCACCTCAAATCTCAGTTTTGTGTTTTTCATGGAACTTGTGATTTGGGGCAGTTTCTGCGAAACGCACCATTCCCTGTGATTTTTGATGGAATCACTGGAAAAAAAACTTACTGAAAATAAAATTTTGACTCCGCAGTGGGAGCCAGCAGTTTTCATGGCTGCTGGCACACAGAAGGGGAGCCAGATGGGGACCACCCTCTCTTCCCTCTCGCCACTGATTGGCCGAGAAGGCGACCAATTATGTGGCCCTGCCCCTCTCTGCCAGTCAGTGACAAGGGGTGGAACTGCATGAGTTGCAGCCCTCTCGGCCAATCAGCAGTGAGGGGTAGGGCCACCGTTGAGACCCCTTGGCCATTCAGCAGCATTGGAGGAAGCATAACTGCAAAAAAACCGCACTAAAATGATGGCAGGTGCCACTGCGATCAGCCCACAAAATCCCTCGCCTGCCTCCTCGATTTCAGTATGTCCCTACTTATGTTACAGACAGTGGGGTAAATAAGTGCTCAAATATTGTGGTGGTAGTCACAGTATAAAAAGCTACAGTACAGGTCCCTGACTTATATACATACTTTACTTAACATAGCATGAGCTGACCATTGATTTGTGTGGGATTATTAATAGTGCGTAAATTTGGCTACATGTATATGTCTTTGCTGGATAAAGTCCTTATCTGTGAATAGATGTTAAATGTGATTACTTATTAGGGGCTAGGGTTCCTTTGTGATGCCTCTTTTTGAACAAGCTGTATTATTGTGAGAGAGGTTAGACAAGCTTTTGGGCACAGACTACTCTTCCTTGGGCCTATACATTGCCCTGTTGTTGTACTACTATAGTCCTTGTACAGGTTTTCCTGATTTTACCTATCCACTCTGGGCAATGAACATATGTTGTGATCTAGATTTTGAAGCTCCTGGCCAGTTGCTTTGAAGCATTGTCATTCTTTTCTTTGTGGTTGCCCCTAGTTTTCCACTTCCATGCTCTGAGTGCTAAGCAATGCCTATGAAACAAGTAGGGCTTTTCCCAACATTAGGATATTATCTGTTTCTATTATTGTCATGGTGTTTGGGCCAGTAGGATGAAACAGCAAGTGAGGGTCAAGATTCTTTTTTCCCTCAAACACTAGTACTTAGTTGTTGGTTTTATGACATGCAGGACCAAATGAGTATAACTGCAATTTTTGTCTTGATAAATATTTCAAGAAACAAACAAATGGTTTGATGCATACTCTAAAGGTGCTAAACAGTGTTGGGAAGAATTAATTCATGTTTGGGAAGAATTAATTCACGTTTGGGAAGAATTAATTCATGTCTCAGCGTATAGAGTTTTTTCATCTTAATTTGATAGTGCAATTAAATTTATGTAAGAACACTCCTGTCTCTTCAAGAGAGCTGCATTGGTTATACTAAAAATTGTATGCATTGAGTGTCAGGCATTATTAAAGTACCCACTTATGTGTTCTGGTTTCTGTCTTGATCACACAATATTTGTGATGAAATAAGTTTTCATAAGCAACAGCCTATGTCTCTGACCTAGTCTGTCAGGTGCTACTCTCCCCTGTCTTCTGCCAATATTTTTAAAGTCCTGATAATTGTTTCTGCACAATATATGTCCATAAAAAAAATCTATTTCCTGCTTAATTTTAAAGAGAAGAGATTGCATTTTGCTCTTACAAAATAAATACATGTTGAAATATATTTAAAATATCACTTTTTAAGTCTAATTTCTTATAAATTTACATGCACCAGTAATATATTTTAAAACTTTTAATGGGAAAATAACATTACATTCAGTCTGACACGTCGAACACATTTTTAATGGGCCTAAATGACTCTATACAAAGTAGGCTTTTCAAATACCTCATTGTCATGACATGTCCTCTGTACTCAGAATTCATGAAAAACATGACTAAACAGTTTCCATGAATCTTTATATTAAGTAACATTTTTAGAAAGATACTATGATCCAGGATGATAGGAAAGTAGGTTGGGGGGACCTCACAAGGCCATCTAGTCCATCCTCCTGCTCAAGGCAGGATCATCCTTGACTAAACTATGCCAGCCAACTGTCCATCTAACATACTCTTGAAAATGTCCAGGGATGGAGATTTGACAGCTTTCAAAGGTAGCCTGTTTCAGTGCTTGACTGCCCTCCATAGCCAGAAAGTCCTTCCTAGTCTCCAACCTAAATTTAATCCTGTGCACTCTAATTATTTAGTTGTGTAAGAATTGATATCAGAGAGGACTGCTACCACACCTTGTCTCTCCAAGGCATCTAAAATCTTGCATCAAATACTTTTGAATGGAGTTTCAGTTTTTATTCTGTGATTCACTAGGCACGTCTACACATGCATTAATACACCGTTGTTGCTGCGCATTACGTTTAGGACCTGTAATAACAGGTACTAACTCAATGCATAGTACCAGTGCTACTGTGCAGTAGCGCCAGCACAGTCTTTTATTGACACTAATGCACAATATATTAATTCTACTCTAGATTAGTGTATTAGCATGGCTTTTGTCATGTCATGCTAATGCGCAGTAGAATTAGTCTACTGCGCATTTAGCATCTCCTGTAGACATGCCCACTGTGTCTCTTCTGTGAAAGGTTAATTCTCTCTGTGGACTTGGAGGCTGTTATAGTTGCATATTTTCATTTCTTTCAGTCAGGGTGCTTGGCCTGTGTTTCATAACACTTATCACTTACCTTGTACTTGAAGTCTTCATAGTACTTTACAAGAAATAATTAAACCTCATTGAGCTCATTTTGCATTAGATAAATTGGTATACTATAAGGAGGACTGGGTGACTGGAAGGGACCAAACTGATAACAGTAAATTTGCTTGATGAAAAGAAAAAAAAATTTTGAGAAAACAAAAATGTAATAAACAGTGAAATATCCTGCAAGGTTGTACATTTCACTGAGAGCCACAATTCCAATTGCACGCCACAATGGAGAAACCATATGCTGCCCCAGGCTTTATTGTAAAATTTGTAAAAGTAACGTGGCACAAAGCAACCAAAGTCCCATTGACTTTCAATGAGAGTTAGGCTCTTAAGTGCTTTCCTCACTTTTGAAAAGCACTTGAAAATGTTACCAGTTTATGTGATAATTAAATTTTTTCAGTAGGCATAGCTTCCTTAAAGGTACAGGAATGAATTTGCACTCTAAATCCACCATTTGCTGTTCACTAAGATCATGTACCATATTTACTTGAATCCAAGACGAGGGGTTTTTTCCCCATTTAACCTGGGGAGAATAGTCCTTCATCTTGGGAACAAGACTGGAGCTGCAGCAGCCACCTGCCTCCCCACTCCCTCCGCCTCCCCCTATAACCTCAGCCCCCCTGGGCTAGAGCTGCTGTTACTGGCTGAGCAGGGGCTGGAACAAGCACGTGCTCCATGCCCCAGGCTGGAGTGCGGCCAGAGCTTGCCAGATCCAGAATGAGAGTACGCAGGGTGGTGGAGGGCCTGATACCGGGGAGGGAAGAGCTAGGAGGTATACTCTATAGACAGCGGAAGGGAGGGGCTAATGGGGCTTAACCCCCCCAAATGTGGGGCAGTGGTAGGGCCACAAGGCACCCTGGCTGAGGGCTTCCAGTGGCTGCAGCAGGGGTGGGGAGGGAGTTGGACTGGGGCTAGGGGAGGGGCAGGCACTGCACAGCTGGCTGGGTGGGGGCTGAGCTGTGAGTGGTTCCTCCGCGAGGCACGGCTCCTGCTGCTATACCCTGGGAAGCATGAGGGGCGCGTGCACCTGGATCTATGCAGGACAGGGCAGGCTGCCACTGTGAGCTGGGGCTAGGGCTGCAGCGGCTCTGGGAGGAGGCTATTGGGGGGTGGGTGCAGCCACCCCAAAATTCACCATAACCCACCTAACCCCTGTCCCAGTATCACTGCCGCCCACCTCAAATGCAACCCAGACCATATTGGCAGCCTGCCCTGCACTGCACAGATCTGGGGGCACGTGCCCCCCATGGCTCCCAGGATGCATGCAGCAGTGAGAGCTGCCACCCCCCTCCCTGCACCCCCTGGACAAGCCATGGTTTCATCCCCCGTTCGAATTGGGGCAGGCGTGGAAATCCTGGGGGCTCCGGCCCAGCAGTGCAGCCGAGGCTGGCCCCTCTCCGGCCCCTGGCTCCAGGCCCCCCCAGGCAATGTGGGGCCAGGGCTGCTGCAACGAGGCAGCCAGGGCTGGGGGGTGGCAGATTTGTTGGTGCGGGGGGCACCGGGCAACAACCCCAGGATCGGGGGAAGGGGCAACTGCGCAGGTGCAGGCCCTGGCCCCAATCCGGGGCCCGGTTCAGCTCAGCTCCCTCCAGATTCCTGCCTAGTCCCCGCCCCAGCGACTCCTTTACTTCTCCCCTGCCTCCCCCCCAGCAGTTTCCCCTGCCCCTTCCCCTGCAGACTTTCCTGCCGGGGGGGGGCTGCACGTGCACATGCGCACGTGTGCTCAGCCCCTGCCAAAATTTTTCTTCCTCTGCCTATGGTGTGCTCATAAGGAAGGTAAGTGCCTGCAGGGGGAGCAGGCAGCAAGGGAGTAAAGTTGGGGAGTGAAGGGGCAGAGGTTGGACTGCTTGATTTCCCCACCACTGGCTCCTTACTGCTTTCCCCTCTACTGCCTTCTCCACTGCCTGCCCCCATCGCTGCTTTCACTGCTGTAATGCGAGGGAACAAATTTAAGATAACCTT